TTGATGTGTGAGAACGCCAAGGAAAAAGGGAAAATTGGTATGGGAAGGCCGCGGGAAAAAGGGATCTGGGATGTGGGGTAAGGGAAAAGCGGGACACACAAGTGCAAAGGCAAACGGAATATTATGTAAGATGCCGGGGCCAAAGTGGCGGATGAGTATCGCATTTTCAAGTGCCCCCGGGTGGAAAAAAATGGAAAATAAAGAACGACGATGACGACGAATGCCCAAGCCAGCTGCATTGAAAAACGCGGATTTTCCACAGTTTTTAGACGATTTTAATGCCGCTCAAGGGAGCCATTTTCCATCAGATTATTGAAAGGGGCTTTAAATGGTACGAAAAATATTTATTGGCTAAAATCTACATTTACAGGAATAAATACGTAAACAATAGATTTTTTAAAACCTTTGTATGCCCAGAAAAATTTTAAAAATAAATAGAAGAAATTATTAGATTACGTTTAATGATACTTTAATTTAAATCTAAAAATTATTAAAATACTTCTAAAGATATCTTAACTCTTAAGTCTAAAAAATGTGTCACATCAAAGAAGATATTTGTTAACTATATTTTATATTGATTAACAAAAAAATCTAAAAAATAGGGTTTTAAAAGCCTTTACATGTCCAGAAAAATTATACAAATATTTATACGAAATTTTGAAGCAATGTTAAAAAATTACTTGGTTTGGAGTCTTAAAATTGTATTAATTTCTGCAATTTCTTAAAGCTTCTAGGCACAAAATTCCCCAGTGGATTTTAAGTGCCTACATCATACCCATCCCAACCCAAAATTCGACTTACAAATCAACTCAATAAAAACAATTTTCGATATTAAATTATCATTTTGCCCATCGCCGCTGTGGATTGTCGGAAAACTTTCTCCTTGCCACTAGCCCCCCCACCATTTTCCACACACACACAAACACCTATATCTATATAGACATATGTATGGGTATGTGTGTATATATTCCACCACTACAACTACAACAAAAGGATGTCGTGTCGTGCCGCGTCGCTTAATCATGTCAATGATTTATAACGCTTTCAAGGAGCGCACCAAAACTCGAACTTGTCGACGCCAACTTCCCCATCCCCTTCCTCAAACTCCCATTTTCCCCACCCATTTTCCCAAGCATTTTCCTCAAGGTGAACGAGGGGGTGGCAAAGGGGGCGGGAGGCCACTGAATGACTTGCCAGACAAAAGCGTAGTAACTAGCTTAGGAACCGGAGTTTGGGGCCAGGTCAGAACATAAGTTTTCCAGCTACTTATATGCCGCCATAGTCGAGGCGGAATTTATCTCACGAAAAATGATTTGGCTCATTATCAACAGGAGCTAAAGTGCAGTCAGTACACAGAAAAAAAATGTTTAAGAAACTCACGGCCAAACAGGTTAAAAATCAACTAACCTTTAGTTGGATAATAACCGTATGTGGGGAAAAGGATTTTAAAGCAGAAAGTATATTTATATATTTAGTAATAGAAGGTTTTAAGAACTTAAAGCAACCAATATTCAATACTTCTAAAAAAAAAACAACTAATCTTTAATAGGATTATAACCATAAGTTAAAAAAACAATTTAAGTCCAGAAAATAGTAAAATAGAAAAAAGTAATAAAAGGTTTCAAGATTTCAAAGCAATCAATTCCTCATAGATTTTTATTTTGCACGGGTTGAAAATCATTTATTTTATCAAGATTTATATCGAAAAAAATATAATATAATATAATATATATATAATTTTTTTAGTGTTCCCAACACCAGAGATACATTTATAGACAAAAGCGGAGAGAGGCCTTTGGAGTGAGGGACATCGAATAAACGCATAAATCAACAACAAAAACAGAAAAAATGATTTATTTTTCTTGGCTGCCTCTTCAGCTGCTGCTGCTTCTTCTTTCACCCCACCAAAAGCATCCCCCCAGCTTCTAAAATATTTTTTTCTTCCGACGGGGTTGGACCCGTTGTATGATTGCTTCTAATAAGTAAAGTGGGATAATGCCAGGAATTTCTGGAGTAGAGAAGGCTGTGTCGAAGGGGAAGTACCATAATCAGTGGGGAAAAATCGGGTAAAAGGAGGAAAATAAATAATGGTGGTGGGGGTACGGCAAGGTGTGCATGCCCTCCAATAATAAAGTAATCAAAGTGATATGGTGTTGATGCCACGAGTGTAGAGGAGGAAATACTGGGGAGTTCATATGGGGGACAGGATAAAAGGAAGTCCCGAACAATGTGTTGTTATTGTTGCCAGGATTATGCCATTAAGACATGAGGCAATCGAATTATGGTCCTGGCCTGCAAATGAAATTGAATAAGGAACGTCAGCCGGAGGAGGAGACACTGGGAAAATCCAGCTGAACAATGGCACAAAGGAGCTGGCATTTAAGAGGCCAATCTGGCCGAGAGATCTGGCCATAATTATTATTGTCAGGGGTAAATGCGGATGAGAATATATTTTTAAATTAGAAAAAAACATCATGTATAGCTTGATATAAGAGGGAAAAGTGGATAGTATCATAATATCATAATATATAAAATTAAATAAAACATTTAACAAGCAATGATACAATCTAAAATATATAAATACTTGCAGACATTTAAGAGGACAATCCGGATATAGTTGTCGAATAATACGAATAAAATTGGGAAGAAATAATAGGTAATGCATTAAAATCTCGCAATATATATATTAGATTAATCTATAATGTTATAAGAAATTATATAAAATATTTAACAAGCCAGAATTCCATCTTAAATATATTCTTCTATATTAAAAGTGGTGTTTTCAAATCAACAAATATTTCGATTTCATAATTGTGAATGCAATTATCATTATTTTTTGTTCGAACTTCTCGCAGGACGAACTTTGCGCTACATGTGTTTGGTGTCTCTCCGCCAAAGCCCCATAAATAGTTGCTTAATTACCATCTCAAGTGCCAAGTGCACTCACCTGGCCGGGGAAAATGGCCCACCCCCCCATATATTTTCTATTTACCCCTGGTAGCGGCAAAAAACTTCTTGCACAAAGAAAACCCAAACACACAAAACAGTTTGGAAGAAGTTGAGGCAAAAGCCGAAGACAAAGTATAAAACATATGCCAAAACACCGATTGCAATTAATCTTGTGCATGTTTCAGCGCTTTCTCTCCCTTTCCCCAGAGTTTTCCACCAGAGGTAAACTGTATTGGTAAACAACAAAACGGAAAACTTGCGCTGCATTTGGTTTTCGGTTTTCAGTTCTATCCCCTCGCCTTTTTCCACCAGGGTTGCCACCTGCAAAAAGGAAGCAAGCAATTTAATGTGGTTGTGTTTGGGTGCTGTGATCTATTGTTGGCAAAGCAAACTTTGCAGCATACTTCAAGGCGCCACCCACATAAGCTGCGATTCCCTGGATATAGCCATGGATTTGTATGTGTCTATGTGTGTGTGTGCTATAGACATTTGTGAGGTATCCCTTAAATACCAATTTATGGCACAAGCAGATAAAGTCCCAAATCTGCACTTAATCTTTTGCATTGTTTAATTTCGACTCATTGAGTTGGAGCACCAAAAATGCCCCACACTTTCCCTTTGGATTTCTCTATTTCCCGGAAAGTGTATGTGTGTGTGTGTGTGTGTGGAGGGGGCGGAGGCGTGTGGGCGTGGCCATATGAATGGGCATTGTCCCGGGAGGAGTGGCGGCGTACTTAAGTTGCCTGGGAAATAAATCGTTGTCGACGTCTACAATGTGCTACACGGAAAATAGTAATACGTATTACAGATCAAAGATCTATGTTTTCCTGGTTTTAGTATAAAAGAAAAATATTTTAAAATTAAACTTCTGAAAGAATAATATACTAATCCATATTAATAATGTTCGACTTTTTCCAAAACGTATTGCTATAAAGTATTTAGCAAAAAGGTGACCCCAACTTGCACTTCTTGGCCTAAAACTCTTATTTTAGTAAGCCAATTTAAAAGGTCTTAACTTCTACAAGTTTTTGGTTTAATTCTGTAAAACCTTACAATTCTTATAATGAACGTTTGAAATTTTTTATAATAATTTATAGGTAGGTGATCCTAAAATGCACTTCCTTGGCATAACTTTGAAAATATATGGTTTCATTTTCAAAAGGACCATATTTCTACTGTACATTCTATATAAAATTAAATATAAATTTAAAATATTGTTATATTTACCTTAAATTTTTCCTTGTGCTCGGGAAAATCAAAGGGAAATGAGGTGAGGGTTTTCCCTTTAGAGGATGGGCTCTTCTTGGTTTGCTTGGGTGTAATATTCGATGCTTCATTGCAACCACGGCAACAACAAAAACACATCCTTGCTCAACAGGCGCAACAGTCGTCCTTCCTTCCTTCCTTCCAGCCATCCCTCCAACCTTAACCCCTGTTCGCCCTCGTGCTCGATTTTGCGGTTTCCATGGGTGGCGAACGGAGCAGGGGAGGGGGCTTGAGTTGGGGTTCCTGAATCCGGGTCTCTTGGTCCAACGCAAGTTGTTCGCTAGTTAAAACTTACAACTTGCGCGTTATTTCCTGCCACACACACACTTACACTAACACTTACACTCTCTTTGAGGGGTTCGTTTCACCCCCTTCCAACCGCAATGCCCTCCGTACTTAAGGTGTTAACGCAAAAGCTTGACTCATAAAATATTGAAAAAGCCGCAAAAACTTTGCACCAAAAAAGCTTGGGAAATACACATAGGTAATACAGAGTAAAATGGTAGGGGATCAAGGGAAATAGGAGGCCAATTGTGGCGGATTGTCGGAACCCCAAATTGAACGGTTAAGTGGCGGATCCTGTGCAACTTTCTTGTATTTCTTAAGCGGTTTTTGTTTTTACTTTCTGAATACATAGTAAAAAATATCTATATATACATAATTAAGGCTTTAATTAACTGTGTTCATAAATATGACAAAGTATTAAAATTCAGGATTGTTAATTTAGGATAAATGTAATTTTCATAATGTGAAATACCTAAGTAAATCTTAAGGTTTCACTTTGCCTGTAACGTCAAAATTGAATGGTTCTTAGAAAAAAAAAATGTGGAAATAAGGAGCCGTTCTTAATTTGGAAGCAATATTCCTCGATTTCGGGCTCTCCAAGCTTCGATCAGCCATGACCACTGATCGCCTGATCCTGCTGCAGTTCAGCATGCACTGTTTCAAGATCATCTTCATCTACTGCATCTGTGTGAATGTCCTGGAGCATCTCGTCCAGCGGGTCCAGGAAAACTGAGTGGGAAAATGTTTGGGGCCAGGAAACGAGAGCAATAAAAATTAAGCGGCACTTATTTCAAAAACCTTTTTCTTTTCCTTTTCTTGATGGGATATAATAAGTATATTTTAAAATTATGGCTTACAAATTTTTTGTAAGGCATTCAATATTATCAGAATCTCACTAATCCAACAGAAATAAAGTAAAATTATACCAAAAAATGTTTCCAGAATTTTTTTCTTCTCCACTCGAGCTGAAAATCGATGCGATTTACGTAAATTACATATAATTTTTAATAGGTTTTTCATCAGGCATAAATTATTTCCAGAAGGCAGAAGCAGACGCGGCGAAAACACGAAACGGAAATTTAAATTACCTGCAACGTAATTACACAAAAGAATATGCCAATAAAAATGACTTATGTATCAATTTCCTTTACGACACAATCCCAGACGAAATGGGGAGGATGATACTCCTGCTGCTGATGATGATGATGATGACGATGACGATGATAATAAAAGGCAGCGTGGCACAAAGCGAAAAATTTTCAATTTTATTTTTATTGCCTTATTGTGTATCAAATATTTACAATTATTTGTGCCTCGAGTACCAGGAAAATGAGCCAAAAAGGCACGCAGACGAGCCGCGGAAAATCTTAAAGGAGTGGGGCTGATAAATTCAAATAAAATTGTTGGCACTGCATTGTAGCCAAGGTGAAAATGATGAGACTTTCCAAAGGAAAACCCGCCCACAAAACACGTATACAAAACTACAGACGTGAAAAAGTTTTCGATCAAAAACGCGCCAGAGAAATTATACCACTCGGCCCCTCTCTTTCTATCCGGTTAGTGCCGTCTCCCTCTCGCGTTGGCGGCATTAAAATTTTATTTTAATGTCATCGAGACGTTGATTTACAGCCACCAGATTCTCGGTCTGTGCTTTTGTGTGTGCGGCGGGCGAAATATAATTTTAATAATATTTTATTGCTTCGAAAAGTGGTAATAGCGCGGAAAATGCCAAAGTCTGAGCACATTTTTCCACAAAGGGAAGAATCGGGAACAGGGAAATGAGGAAAACATCCTTTGAGAAAATTGTATATATTTTTTTGCAGTTATTAAGGGGTAGACAAATATTTTGACAACTTTAAAAATAATTACAATTTATTATAATGCCTTATAGCATTTAAAAAATATTTTAAAACAATTTGTAAATGACAAAGCTTTAGCAACCTCCCAATTATATAATTGTATATCCAAAATTAAACATGTCTTTATTACTTAATGCTCCTTCCCTGTTCTTTAGATTAAAGCACTTAAAATGGAAATACATTTTCAAGTTCATTTTCCTTTGGCTTTCATTTGCCCCCATTTTCCTTCATCTGTGTTAACTGTTTGTTTCTGTTGCCATTTTCGCCGGCGGTGGAAGCCTTGCCAATTGGACGGGTTTCCATCAATTGGAAACACATTTGCCGTGAGCTTTTCCGCATTTTCCCGCCCCACTTCCGTCTGCCTTTGCTATCTGGTTCATTTAACAACAATTATAATGGTTTCCACTTTTCGCATTACTTTTAACGGTTGTCTACTTGGGTTTTCCTCAGGTTTCTGTTTCTTATACTTATTCTTAATATTATTTTTTCCTTGCCTTTTGTGGGGCAATCGAAGAGCTTGTAAAACTTAATAAAATGAAACCTTAGGAAAAGCCAACCGGAAAAGGTAACCGAAGAGATTGGCTTGGCACTTTTCGGCTTTTCCGAATCTATTTTAAGTAATATTTATGTGACTTCAACTCCCCGCTCTCTTCACCAATTAATTTTTATTTATGTCTGTGTATATATTTTTTGGTTTTTTTTTTCTGGTTCGCTTTTCCCTTATCAAACAAACAGTTGGCAACATGATAAATGCCCTTCACCCTAAACCCCCCCACTCTTTGGTAATTTAATATTTTTTCATTTTTTTTCCAAACTTGGGGCTGCTAAAAAATGACAATTTTTAATTATCAAATGCGTTTAATGATAAAAATTGTCTAACGGGGGTGTGGCAGCCACTTTCCCAGCTTTTAATTTATGATTTATTTGTGTGGGTGGCGGGGCGCCCATAATAATTAATATTGCACACAAGAAAATGCCAGAAAATATACAAAAAATAAAAAAAGCGAAGTGAACCTAAGAGAAAACAACAAACAGAAAGCGGGCAAAGGCGTCGAAAACAATTCCCCCAGGGGGGGTGGGAAATTTTTTCATAAATCTTGAAGGCGGAGACAGTAAGTGCAATGTCATTGAGGCAGCAAAAAAATATAAAGGGGTAGTAGGGGGAATAGGAAACAAAACCCAAACGGGCCCAGACCAACCCCTCCCATGCCATCCCAACCCCCTCGAAACCCCCGCCCCTGTAGCCACATGTCGTCTTGAGCCTGCCGCGAACACAAAATTAAAAGTATTTCTCGAATTATTGTTAATGATGATTAAAAATATGTGTACCTGCGGAAGTGAAACGGCTAGAAGGTGTGGATTGTAAAGGGAGTACACTTGTCCCCAAAGCGAACACATGCTGCCATCTCCATCTCCATCTCGACTGGATCCGAGTTCACCTGACTTTGACTACTTCAAAGATGGAGAAAGAAGTATTTTCTTGAAGAAAATAATATGATAAATATTTGTTTCAGGTCTTAAGTTACTTAAACACCCTGATAAAGTTACAAGAAAAATCCTTAAAATAGCAGAGCTGAAAATCATCTAAAACACAAACTAGCAAACCTATTTTCTATTTAAACTCAAGTTAAAGTATCTTTCACACATGCCTCAAAAATGAAATGAGCATTTTGGCCATATATTTTCGGAAAGGGAAGTAGATTTCTATGGGTGGTATAGGGTTGAATGCGGCGTGTGGCGGCACTCGATAACATAATTATCTGTCATAATCAGTAGGCGTTGAAATGTGCAATTTAAAGAGCAATTTAATGCGCGCCAGCAGCCAAAAACAACAACACCGATACAGATACAGATACGGTCGTGGCCATATAGATACAAATACGGATACGGTTATGGATGGCGGATACAACTACACTTACAGATGCAGATACAAACACAAATCACCAGGCAGTTGCAGTTGCACAAAAGCGCAAGGGCGTCGCTGCAACAGCAACCGGTTGCATGGGGGTGGAAATGGGGGGAGGGGGTTGCCCAGTGCAACGGCTGTGGGGTTTACTCAGTGGCGTAGTTTGGAAAATTTAAGTTGGGTAGCATAGCATAGATTTCTGAAAATTAGTTGCAAGCAGAAAATAAATAAAACGCGAATTCTTTAGATTCCTTTTTATTACTTTCATTAGCTATACTAAACTGTACTTTCCTTTCAATTAAAAAAGATGGGGTTCCACCACAATTGATTTGAAAGAATTTGTACCATTTATAAAGTTTAACAAACCATTCTTAAAAAACTAAAAAATGATATATTTATTTTTTAGAAAATATATTTTATCACTACCAATCGCTAATGAATAAAGTAATTTTGCCATCGTATTCAGAACTGTTTTTTTTTCATTTTTGTTATTAAAATAAATGATAATTACTCACTAAAACATCAGTAACTTAGACCCCCTTTCACACTACGCCACTGATGGTGTTTGCCTACGTCTAAAGCATTTCGGTGATTGTGTCAGTTTGAGTTTTTGCAAATTTGCATCGGATTATTGCAATAAACATAATTATGCGCGCTGCATATGATTTTTCAATTAAACACATGCCAACCCCGCGTGAAAAACCCCCCTTTTCGAGGGGTTATCATCGTGGACCCCCGGGTCTTTCTGCTGGGACGTGGCAAATAAAGGGTTAAGCTGGGGTTCCTTTTTTTCGAGGGGGTGGTGAAGGGGGGCTAGGGTATTTGATACCGAGGGATTCTGGGATGACATGACCAACCAATTGCTGTTCGTTGCGGGTGTTTGTAATGCATATTTGTTAATTAAGTGTCGCATGTGTGTGAAAATCACCCAAACCACCCAGCATGTGGTGCAATTCTAGCGGTGCTTAAGTGGAATCAATGGATTGTAATGTGGAGATAATCATTTTTAGCAAAAGGACGCAAAAAAAAAAGGTGGCTCACATATCATTAAATTCATTTTGAAGAGCCTCAAACTTGAGTGGGCAATTTTTGGTATGGGGCGTTGCCTGTGAGACAAATGCCATGCACTCCACAGGATATTGCAGAAATTTCAATTAGATGAGGTGTTGATGCTGAAATTCTGCGGTGCGATAGGTTTTGTGTTTGTCATTTCAAGCATATTGCACTTGATGACTGGTTACCCTCATTCCCAATAAACCATTAACCATAACCACATATTTTTGTCTTTGAAAGCGATTTCGTTATATTGATGTTCAAGGTAAGGAAAATTAAAATAAACGCTTGTCGTCTCAAATGGATCCAACCGGAAAATATCAGAAACTAGTAAAAAAAATTGGGAAAAATACATACACCTAATCTAAGTCAGGGTTACAGTGGCCTCAAGTCCAGCCACTGGTATTTCATTATCCAGCATGGTCAACTGCAGAAGATAATCCCCTTTTGGGGCATTATCCGGCAGGAAATTGGTCTCCATTTCGTAGTTGTCGATCTGGTATTTTCCCTTGGGGAAGGGACACTTTCCCTGCTCTGGTAAATTAGAAACCTTCTGTATCTGGGGATACGTGTCCTTATCCTCGTTGATGAACTGACAGAAGGGTTTATGCACATTCAACACCATGGGACCCCTCTTTTTGGCATTGGAATTGTAGGTGAAAGCCATAAGAGCAATCTGAAAAAATGATATAGCACATACAAATTACAAAAGAAATCTAAAATATTCCAAAATTAATCTCGAACATTTGATTTCTGCCATCCAGTCTTCGAGATTTAATTACAAATTTCAACATTAAATTTCTAATGTATATATTGTATATTTTGCTTTAAATATTTACCTTCTGCTGATCACCCATATTGAGTTTGAATTCAAAGTCCCCAGACACCACAAATTTATTTCGTGAGACCTTTTTCATCCTCAGAGTTCCCCACTCCACCCACTTTTCCTGATTTTCAAT